CTTACTTTTTGAGTGGTTTTATATCTTGTTCAAACCATACCCATTTTGTGTTATTTCTCTGAACGTAAAAGCAATGTGCAGCGGTAAGAACCCATTGTGGAGATACCAACGCACCACCACACAAGAACTGCCATCCTGAAACTGATGATGTCAAAAAAAGATAAACCGATGATACATTCCAGGCCAGAAGAGATACTTTGATGTCCGCTTCTTTTTTAAAGATAATTAAAAAGGTAGCTCCGTATTCATATGATACGGGCTAATAAAATTCTTACCACCTTGTTTTTTGTAGATACCAACTTGCCAAGGCCACATGCCTCGTTGCGAGATTTTTCCTCCGACAACCAAGCCGCGTATTTTAATTAATCTCTCTCCACAATGGTCATCTATAAAACAAACGTGTGCTATATCTCTACTATAATCATCTATAAAACAAACGTGTATTTCATTTCTCTCCTATACCTCTTGTAGAATGGGGGATTGATCTTTCCTTGTGTGTGTTGGGAGTAGAGGGTGGGGTTACTCTTTTATATCTGTTGTGGGTCGAGTGAATCACTTTTCCATATCTCTTGTGTGTATGGGGAGAAAGGGTCTGGAGAAGGGGCTTGATGAAAAAAACTAAGAAATCTATAATGGCATCCGAGAGTGTTTGAAAAGTGCTTCACATTACTTATAAAATTTGTGAATCAAGTCACTGAGTCTATCCTGTTCTCTTTCATTCTTTAGTAAGCAAACCATGATGACATGGTAAGGTGCTGACCTCATATCACACCATATGCAGTGATTCTAAATGTACAGTTGGCAAAATGTCAGCTACTTACTTTGCAGCGAGAAGGCATTTAATGCGATGTTTGCTATCAGTACAATTACCCAGATCGTAGCTTGCTTCATTATCTATATAAGCATTCAATGAAATGGTATCATATCAACCGCCAAATACAACCACATTGTTATATCGTAATAAAAGTAGTGAGTGAAGTTTGTGCATGGAGTTTGTGTATGAAGGTCTTGCGATGGATTGAATTATGACGGAAATATCGCGCATTTTTGAATCTATTCCAACAAGAAATTGACTGCGTAAAAACATTGATGGTAGAAGTACTAACTTACTAAAGCCTGCGAGAGAGACGGGAGATCTTACTTGCAATATTAATATTGATAAACTGGTCAGTTCCTGTAACAAAAAAATAAGAAACTCTAATCCTTGCATGCTTTTTTGAATTGAAAGAGTAGATCAGATCACTTAATATCTGTTATGAGCTGTAGACATATGGTACGTTTGTATAAATATTTTAACATTAATTCATGCATTAATTTATTATATACTCACCGACAAACACATCCACTCAAATCCGACCAATTCTACAAATGATGTTCCTTCTACTGTATGCGGGAAGTGATGTACGGAACGTGTTCGTGCATATYACATTCATAAGAAAATAATACACTCTGACTACAGAGACCATAGGTCAATGAGAAATCGCTATTGCGGTGCGACGCAATGAATGTTTATCTTCAAAACTTGAATTTAATTTGTTTCTGTTTATTCATCTTACAATTTCTGAATAATTAATTATTCTCGCGGAAATAATGGTCTGTACGAAGTCTTTACGAGAGTTCTACAAAACTTAAGTTGTATACTGATAATTTAAAAATATTTCTTTTTTATTTATCCGCCTCTTTGCAGTCTTTTTGTATAGTTTCCTTGATCCAGTCTACAAATGGCTCTACTCGTGTATAATAGGTATATTTTCCTGGCAATCCGCAGCCCTCCCCCCACGATACCAGACCAGTTGAAACCCATCGCCATTTGCCGTTGCTCTGTCTTGACTCTCTGACAAAGCTGCCGCCGGAGTCACCTTTGCACGTGTCGTTGCCGCCTTTTCCATCTCCCGCGCAGAAAGTGACGTTAGGATTGAAAAAGAACTTGGTTGCTTTATGACAGGTTAAGTTGTTTTGGACCATGAATGCTGAATGCCGTAATACCGTGGAATATATTTTATTCGGAGGGGGATGTTGGCCTACTTGAACAACCAGTGTTGCACCCCACCCTGCCACGTAACCATGCTCGCCTGGCTGCAGTAAATGTTCACCTTTCTTTGGTAGACATACGGGACGAACGAACGGGCCTAGGTTCACTTCCTTTTGGAGTTTAATGAGGGCAATATCGTTCTCAAATAATGTATTGTTAAAGTTTTGATGGATGTATATTACATCAGGTTCGATGTCAACCTGGCCTGGTTCTTTGACCTTCAAGTGATCATCGCCTAGCTTTAAGGTGTATCTACAAAAGACACAAATGTTTGACATGAATTACTTTTTATATCTCTTTTATGTCTATATGCATAGCTTTCTGTAATGGTAGTCTCGTTTTAGGTCCACTTTCACAACCTTTTGCGCGCGTCCTCATTAGACTTCGCGTAAGACAAAATTACTAGAATCTTCACCTATCTGCAGGTTGTACACTGACTTCAGCCTGTGTCTTCCTGAAATATTGTGAGTTATCATTGTTATTTACTTACGTTGCTGGTGGAAAGGTTTGCTTCTCTGGTTTGTTTGTGATGCCATTTTTACCATAGAAACAATGAGCTATTGTTAGAACCCATTGTTTTCCGATCAATGTACCACTACAAATCAGGTACAAACTTCCTGGAAAACACACACAACACGTGATGCAACTTCAAGCGGTTTCAATCGGATATGGTGGGGTGCTGCCATAAAGTGGCATACAGTGAGAGGGGAGGGGAGACTTTTTACTTCAGCAAGACCCTCCGAATCCATGGAAATACACTCACCCAATACTTTCTTGTGCTTGTTAAAAAACCTTCTACCTCTTTTTTAATAGAAATACTAATTCCAACAAATGGTGGAGTACTCTGCAACTTACCCTTCCAGTCAATTTTATGGATTCCAACTTGCCACGGCCAGGTTCCACGGCCAGCTTTGTTACCGCCAACCATTCTGGCTCTAAACGAAGTTGGACTTACACCACAGCTGGCTGGGAAATCACAGTTAAATTGTTAGTGTTTTCCGTTTTCATTTAGTTTGGTTTTCCTAACTTCTGCCGTTGTTGTTTTAATATTTAATGTTAATGCCATCTACCGCTTATAGATACGAATATACATCTACAGATATTAATATTCACTTACAGGGTTGTATAAATGTACATTTGTCTGTAATTTTCAAGGCACATGTTGGYGTCATCTGATCCCATCGTCCATCACTGCATGTAATAATCTTTCTTCCAATCAAAGACTTGTAAGTAAACATGACTTGGTCACCATGTTGGAAAGAGTGGTTGTATCGATGACCATCAATTGGTATACCAGGATCTGGACATGGAGCTTCGAAACGAAAAAAAAGACACAAGATACTTCTGACTCTCAGATCAGATTAACCTTAATGGTCACATACCAGCACATTTTGGAGTTTTATTGGTCCATTTTCCATTGTTGCACGTGGTAACAAATGAACCAATACGTTTATGACCGGTGTTGCATCGAAACCAAACGCTGTGACCATGCGCAAAGTTGTTACCGAGTTGGATGCCATTTTTTGGTTGTGCGGGTTTTGGGCATGGTGCTGTTAAAGATAAAAACGAGTGGAAACATTCACCTAAGAGATCATAATACTGAATTACACATACCATATATGATCACTACAATGACGCACTTAATAACATCATATTTAATTATGACATACATATACCTAAGCAAAGTGGCCAAAATCCATTCCAAGTTCCATCTCGTTGACACTTCAGTTCTGATTTTCCGATTCTTGTGTATTTTGTATTACACGTAAACTTTATGATTTCATTTGGCTGGTACACGCTCTTGACTGGAGTAACTACACCATTTCTAGGCTTACCAGGGCCCATACAAGTAGAATCTAAAAACGATTATCATCCACAATTCTAAAAAACTCTAAATCGAAAGATAAAAAGTGCGAATGTTTTCTCTGTCCATCCCCAATGCACATTCCAGAATTACTAGATGTACCACACTGTTCAAGAAATTTTAACAATTTGTAGTACTTACTGACTTTATGATAAATCCACGGTAAAAATGGATGCAGTCTTGTGTAGTACCCATAATGACTTCCTAGAGTACATCCACCCCAACTGACTAAACCAATTGTTACATATCGATATTTTCCATTTAGGAATAACTTTCGTACCATACTCCCTCCACTGTCACCGTAACATGGCGCGCTGTGTCCTTTAACATCACTTGCACAGAATGCTACCGTCTTGTTGTAGTAGAAGCTTATTGCTCTCCCACAGACATTGTTTGTCTCGATGGTAAACGAGGAGTAGCGAAGAAACGAAGAACCATAACCGGATTCAGTAATTCCCCATCCAGCAACCATTCCTACTGTACCTGGTTTAGCAAGGTCCAGGTCAGGTCCAGGAAGACAAACAGTGCGCACATACTGGCCCAGGATGACTTCACGGTTCAGTTTAACTAAAGCGATATCGTTCTCATAGATGGGATCATGCCTGTAGTCGGGATGTACAAATATTTCTTGGAATTKATGTTCTTGTTCCGAGGATTCATAGCTTCTTAATTCATGATCACCAACTTTGATTTTATACCTGGGACAACGATA